AACTTTAATACTGTACCTTCTGATTCCTAATAATTTCCTAGAATGAGAATTTGCAAAGCTGGGAAGAAGAAATCTACATGGACACAGGAATTTATAGAGTGTCTGAATTGCTTCCAGAGCCAAAAGTTGTTAAAAATATTTTTCTTTTGTTTTCAGATAGACCATACCAATCCATGGAGGCTCTATCAAATACTGTCCTAAACACTGTTTCCCTCTTATTCATGATATCTATATTGAGGGACAAAAATGAAACCTAGTAAACTTCTCCTCATAACCTATTTAGTTTTAAAGGTAAAATACGAGAAGACCCCCTTTAGGGCCAATCCTGGATTCTTGTTGCAAGGCAGAGGATGAGATTGCTGATAAAAGCTGAAATGGAAAGCACTCTTGGGGGCAGCACAGCAATTAAGCAATAGGGCAAAAAATGTACTTCCCTCCCCCCTTCTCTGAGCTATTGCTTCTCTGAGATTGCCTAGGTCTTCTTGAGAGGAGTTACCACTTTTTCCTAACAGTAGCAGCTGCAGGAAAAGAACTTTACAAAAGAAAACATTTGAAAAGCAGATCTTTATTCTAAAAAAGAAACACTTAACGTCCAGCCCATTTACTGCAATCATCTTTTTTACATTAGATTTTTCTAATGTGTATATATATATTATATATATATATGTATATATATAATGTGTATTATATAATAATATAATGTATATATATAATGTATTTTATATATTTTATAAAATACATTATATATATACATTTATATACATTTATATATATATAAAAATCCACTGTTTCAAGTCTGATAGTCTGGAAAGAAAAAAATGCTTCAGGGCTTTTGTTTTCAGGGAACTAATGCTCCAAAACCATAAGAAGGATAGGAAACTTCATAACATTTTCTTGAAAAACATTAGGCTGGTGTTTGTCCCCCGATGTTTCTCAAATAAAACATATGCCATGGAGCTGGAGTTATTTTGTAATAGCATGTATAAACTACAAAAATACTCAAGTGTGTTGCAAAAATGTTTGCCATTACAGTAGTATTTGAGCTGATGTGGTGACAGCTATCTATATAGATACCTGTGAGCAGTATGATTTTTTTTTTTAATTCAACATCAAGAATCAGGGAATTATTTCTGAGATTCTTGAAACATAAATTCAGCCACAAGGACTTTTTTATAACATTGTCAAATCTCTTCACAAATTGTCAGAAGCTTATCAAATGAGACATAATATTTCAAAAATTAAACCACTGACTATGACATTAAAAAGTGTTATTCTGCAACTACTGTAATGGAAGAAAATTAAGAGAAGTGAAAGATATTTCTTTGTTAGTAGCCCACAAATATAAAGATCTGCGACAAAACAATCTCTATAGTGGATTGTAATCTATGGACTTATCTTTCTTTATCAGAAAGCGATTGTCTTTCAGAAATAAAGGAAACTTATAAATTTAGGCAGTAATAAAACATGGTGTGATTTACATTTTTATACTTGTAATCTTTACTTATTTTTGTAAGGTATTCTGACTATCTACTGTGCGTACTTCAATTATCTACATACACCTGAAGGCCTTTTAGGCACTGTACTCACCTGAAGTTAATTATAAGAAAAAATTATAAGAAAATAATCTTCAGCAATCGCTGTTCTGAAAACATGGAAGGAAGGGAAGATTAACTAATGTTTCTATCTTAGTCTTTGTTAAATTCAACTGTTTAAAAATTTATCTGACTCCTAGCAACTGCCTGGATGAGTCCCTGCAGTCTTTTTGGCAACATTTTTCAGCAGTAGCTTGCCATTGCCTCCTTCCAAGGGCTGAGGCAAAGTGACTGGCCCAAGGTTGCCCAGCTGGCTTCAGGCCTAAGGCAGGACTAGAACTCACAGTGTGCTTGGTTTCTAGCTTGATACCTTAACCACCACACCAAACTTCCTCTCTACAAAAAAAATGTTCTTTGGTATCATGTTCTTTAGTATCAGTCCTGCAAGTTCTTAATTAAGTGTTGACACGCAGATTAACAGAAACAGACTTCATGCAATCACAGCATATCTGCTGTTCATTAAAGCAGCCTTTTTCAGGCTTCTGTGTGAATCTGAAAAAAAGGTGCAACTGCTTTAAGGACTCTGTTCATTAAAGTTAATGCAAGTGTTAAAGCAGCTGCACTTTTTTCTCATGAAAAGGTAAGAAACAGTGTGGCTGCCTTAATAAATAACAGGGGGTGCTGTGCTTGTGTTTGTGTCAGGTCCGGAGCACTTCTTTTGAACTGTATGCAGATGTATTTTATATGTCTTGACTGAAATGGAGAAGTATGACTTGCGTGTATAGTCTACTCTAGCCTTACTTCCCTTTGCTTGCATTGCAGCAGCATCAGATAATCTATAAAATAATGTTCAGGAAAGATGTGCCTGGATTGGCTTCAGTAAGATTTCTGTAAAATGAGTGCTCTGAACCTGAAATGCAATTTTAATTCTCTTCCATAGCAGAATAGGGCTTTGAAAACCTCACGTTTATCGCAGAAATACTGTATCAAGTACCATGTGTTCTTTTGCCTTAATAAGGCTCACATCCTGGGATGCCCAAAGGACTCATATGGTATGAATATGAGATAAAGGTGAAAAATTATGTTGTTATGAAGGGTAGGTGCTGTTAATCCTACTCACTCCACTAGATGAAATCCTTTGTTGTAAAAAAATGAACCAAAAGACTCTCCAAAGAATCCCCATCTCTGGTTTTCAGTAGTAACCATTCATTTAATTGCAGTTGAAACTGTTCCTTGAAATTCCAAGGATCTCAGTTTGTCTGTATTTCAGGGTGTTTCCAAATTCACTAAGGCAAAGAGTTTGAAAAAAAGCAGTGTCCAAGACTTAACTAAGTTTAGATAGTTGCCAAATTAGAAAACTTGTTGGTAGATGCTTACCTTTTATTTCTGTTTAATTTCTTTATCTTATGACATAGCTTTAAAATTACATCTTAATTCTGTGTTGATAAACCTTCATGTGTGTTAAGATAAAACTGGAGTTTTCCACCCAATTTTGCTCTTGCTGTTTTTCAGATAACAGTGCAACTTTCCCTTTTCCAGATTGCATTGAGAAGGCAACAAGCCCAAGAGGAAGAGCTGGGGATCAGCCACCCCATCCCTTTGCCCAGGGCCCCAGAAATGTACGTTAAGAAAGAGAACAATGCCAACAGTTCCTGCCTGTTGTTGGAAAGCACTGGCCCACCACAGTCCACAACCACAGCGACTGTAGTGTCTACCTTATCTACAGGTAATGCCCTGCAAAGGGACCTGCCTTCATAGTCTTTGCATCTGGAAAGAATTGGATTGTCTTGGGCTTCTTGAACTCAGGCAGATCTAATCTGATTACAGTAAACGTGGGCTGTGTGTCTAAAAGTGTGTTCAATAATCTTGTTTTATGTTACATCTTTACAATGTACATTCTTTTTAAGGTATCATTTTAGTTAAGGCTGGAGAGCCTTGCTTAATCAGATTGGATTATTTGTCCATATAGCTCAGTATTATTTCTTCAGGCTCTGACAATGATTCAGAAGAAGTCCTTTAGACTAGGGGTTTCAAACTTTTCAGCCAGAAAACCTGTTAGTTAAAAAAAAAAAAAAAGTTCCTGGGACCCCTGATCAAGAGGCAAAGCACTAGTGATTAAAATTAGCTGTATTTGCATGAGCTTTTTTTTTTTTTTTTGG